AGGATTTCTAGGACAGAATATTTATATGGATTTGGTATTGTAATAAATGATTTTTTAAAATTGTAAACTCTTAAATTTTACCTTTCAAGTTTTATTTTTCAGTCATTTTCTTATATTGAAGAAAGAACAGTTTCGAAGTTTTATGTTGAATTCAAAGAATATCAACAATGACTAGTTCTTGACTATGATATTCAGTCTCTATGCTTGATCTTGCTACCATTTGTTTCCTGGACCGCCAAGATATAAGACTAGTAGTCAAGTATATAGCAACACCAGATGTGGATTTGTAATCATCGAGATTAGTAGTAAAATCAACATCACAATAAGCACACAAGGTTAGAGAGTGATTGGGATACTATGGAAGATATTGTAAACTAAACTATTAAATACCCTTAAGATACCTAAGGATGTGCTTGGCTGTTGATCAATGAGACTCAAGTGGCACTACAAGAAAATTTGAAATTACAGACGACCAAAATCCGTGGATAATCCAAAAAATTTGTGGGTAACACTTCATTTCCGATGGATTACAGACAGACAATAATTCGTCGATAAATTGTTCGTCCGAAACATTTACCAACGAATTATAATCCGTGGGTAACTTTTCGACGGAATTAAAATCTGTGGGTAATTACCCACGAATTTTACCCACATTCGTGGGTAATAACCCACATTCCATGATACTTCACGTAACTCCTCGTTAGTCAGGACCCTTCACCAATCAAAACCTTTCATGGGTAACCCTTTTTGAGATATTCACCCACTTTTAGGATCAAAGATTGACCCCACAAACCCCACAAATTAACACAAGACTTTTCGGCGTACCTTGTCGTCACTAGCACATTTTTCTGAAAAACTTCCCAGAAGGTCACCCATCCCTAAATTACTCTATGTCAAGCATGCTTAACTGTGAAGTTCTTAAGGAATAAGCTACCAAAGAGTAGATGCATCTCATTTGTATAATTAGTACAAATTAATTCCTTTAAGTTATCTTCAACTATACAATCTCATACTTGTACAATATTTGGATTCCTTTCATTCTCGTATATTTAACAAATTACAATATAATATAATACTATAATTTTTATCTAAATTAAAAAATATTAATATTTTAGATATACATGAACCCAATAGGCGGCAACATCTATACAAGAGGAAATAAATACCTGCATGTGATGTTTCACTGGTCGCTTCACGGTATCTCCTATTAGTGTGCCTGCGTGTAGTGACAGTCCTATCATGCCCACTTTCTTCAACAACTGATGACTCGGACCTATCTTCATCTTCTGCAGATGCTGCAATGGAAGTGGTTCTCTCTTTTGGCACCTTGAATCCCCCATCATTTTGAGACTCTGCTCGTTTTGCGATGGCAAGGGTATCAAGTCCTATTAAATCATTTGTCAAAATAAACAACGAACAGCATCAGCATTCAGCACCTAAGAATGTAAAACACAAGACCTAAGATACTGATAATCAATAGAATTAAAACAAAACAAAAATACCTAAACGAGATTTTCTCTCTGGAGGGACGTAAACCACCCTATCCTTGCCAGGAACATAGAGTCCACCACCAGTAGGCTTTTCCGGTTCCAACGTCATCGTGGTCTTGTCTATGTCAATCGCTCCCGCACCAGCTCTATCTTTCTACTCCCAAACAACAACAACAACAACAAGGAGAACCAATTAAACCGAAATTCGAAACCGTTTAGCGTGTTGAGCAAGAGAACATATACGATACTGACCTCCATGATGTGATGCAACTGCAAATTTTGTCACGAATTAACAGAGCAAAATCTTTGAAGATTGAGTACGAAAATTGGAGCGAAACTAAGCGACGTCCAAAAACCCTAATCCAAACACGCAGGCTAGAAATCCCAGATTGAAGTACTAGCAAGTATAATTTCTAATTAGGTATCCCGTTCCTATATCCTGGATGGAATTCATACCTAAGTTAAACACTCGATCGCCGTCGCATAGATAGCTGAACGTCGTCGTTTCGGAGCAAGCGGAGAATAGAAGTGTATTAGTGGGATTTGAATCGGACTAGGACGCACCGCAGAGCTTCGTTGGAGTTGACACTGCAATCCGGTTCGCAGCGAGTGCCCTCTGCGGTTCTGAGCGAAGGTTTGGGAGTTATGCAGAGAGAAAGAAGAGAGGGGTGAAAGGTGTGACGGTGTAACGAAACGAAATGCGATTTGCTAGGTACAATGGGTCGGAACGCGCCGCCGCGGCTAATTTTCGTTTTTCGTTTAAATAATTAAATATATTTTTAAAATTGAGAGAAGAAAAATATAAATATAAATGATGATAATTAAGAGACATAATATATAATTTATTTATAATCTATAACATAACAGCACATAATGAAAATAAACTCTTGTGATCTTCATTTTCTTGAACATTTTTATTTATCAACTACACGAGATTACTTATTCCCTTTCTTCGTAATTTCGTATATCACTTTTATTTTGTTTTGTTTTATTTTATTTTAAATATATATTCCATTATGTCATCCTACCATATTAGTTCATTAAATTAATAGAAATGTAAAATAATTTTTTTAAAATGACATTATTTAAAAAATTAAATAATAATATTAACATGTTTTAAGTTTCAAAAAAAAGTATGTTTATGAATTAAAATAATAATAAGTAATTAAATTTAAAAACTTATTTAACATTTCATAATTCTATTTTATATTTTTCTAAATTCATTGACTATTGTCATGGTCTCTTCCAATTTTATAAATTAAAGCGATTACTTACTCATCAAAATTAAATTTTAATGGGACTACCATGGAGACACAACATCACCATTTTAAATATATAAAATGTTTAGTAACATTAATCATTAAAATAACTAACAATTGTAAAATGGAGATGTTAGAAGATATTTCAAATTAATTACTAAAGATAATATATAGGGAAAAATAGCTTATAAACTAATTTATTTACATAAGATAAACATCACTTAATTAAAATAACTTATAAAAATAAGTTAAAAGTTACTCAAATAAGCTTGTATGTTAAATAAGGTTTTTTTTTATAAAATTAACCTATAAACCAGCTAATAAACAATTAGAACAATTAAGATGACTAACCAAAATTTTTTTAACTTTTCTTGCCTCAGATATCGGTCAACTTCAGAAAGATATGGATAAAGTAAAAACGAATTAAAAAAAAAAAAAAACCTATATTTATAGAAAGGAAAGTTAAAAAATTAACTATCATAGTTATAAATATAATCAATATTACTTTCTGTCTTCTTATAATAATTAATATATGATTTTAATCTTTTAATTTTCTAAAATTTATATTTTTTACCTTGTCGTCACTAGCACATTTTTCTGAAAAACTTCCCAGAAGGTCACCCATCCCTAAATTACTCTATGTCAAGCATGCTTAACTGTGAAGTTCTTAAGGAATAAGCTACCAAAGAGTAGATGCATCTCATTTGTAAATATTGTAACCATAAAGGGGCATTGTAGTGGTTTGAGGAATTCGAACTTCTACCAACAAAACATGAAGATAAATAATCTTAAAACAAGTTGTACTTAGTGGATGATTTGGAGACTTGATATTTCTTTTAAATCTTGCATGAAATTAGAGCAGGACCAAGGAACATACACCACTCAAAGATAGACCTTCAAGTATTGGGACAACTTACCCAATCTACGTCACTATAAGCAAGATAAAAGATGTGCTAATTGGAAAAAATAATCTTCATTGAGAAGTACCTTTCAAGTACCTAATGATGCGATGTATAACAACCATGTAAAGATGATAAGGATTGTGCATGAATTGACTAACTTGTTGGACCACAAAGGAAATATTAGAATGTGTAATGGACAAATAATTTAGGTTGTCCACTAATTAATGATACAACAAAGGATCAAGAAAAAGGTTATCCTCATCATGATAATATTTAAAATTAACCTCGAGAGGAGTATCAAAAGTAACAAAAAATTGGAGACTAGCCAAGGAAATTAAATCATCAATATACTTGTGATGATTGTGAAATATACTTTGGGAGGTAGGATGGACCTTAAGAACCACAAAATAATAAAGATGACCAAGATTCTTCATACAAAATAAAGTTTACAATTGTTGTTTCAATTGATGCATATATGTCTAATTGAACCTTGTAATAACCATGTCATTGACATAATGAGGAGGGTAAAAATGCCAATTGTCATGCTATGTATGAATAAAGAAGAGTCATACTAACTCTTAGTAAAAGAAAATTCAAGAAGAGTAGACCAAAACTTTTCAAACCATGCTCGAGGATCTTGGCATAATCCATATAAAGAATTTTTTTAATTTGCACACATCAGTTGAAGAGGAAAATAGGCCCAAAGGGGGAGTCATATAGATGTCTTCTACGAGGTCACCATGAAGAAAGACATTATTTACATCTATTTGATAAAAGTAACCAACCTTTGGATTTAGCAATAGAAAGGATGGTTCTCATATTAATCATTTTAGCCATGGGTGCAAATGCCTCATTATAGTCCACTCCTTCTTCCTATTTGTTTCCCAATAAGCAATTAATCAAGCCTTGAATCAATTAAGAGATCCATCTGAATTCAACTTTGCAAAATACACTTATTTCCAGACAATGGGTTTAACACTAGTTGAGCGAGAAACAAATCCCAAGTAAAATTCTCTTAAAGTGCTTGTAGCTCATCATTAATGAATTTTACTCATCTAGAGTCTTTAATTACCTATGAATAACATGTAGGAACAAAAATATTAGATAAAGTGACAATAAGAGAAATAGGTTCTAAACCATACCATTTAGGTAGTTGAGAAACTCGAGTGGACTGACGATGGACTACTGGTGGGGGATCAAGCAATGGGACAATGATGAGAAGAAGGAGTCAATTTGGCGTCTAACATATACATGGTTTGGTTTCTAACTTTAAGGAAGTTGATGAAGCTCTTCAAATTGAGGGAGGGAAGCCAAACCAAGAGAGCTCGTAAAGAAAGAAGGGAATAAATGTTGATTATCAAATAATACCACATTTTGGGATATATGTAAATGTAGCGTAGTAGTGTCATAATATAAGAATCCTTTTTGAGTAAGGCATAAACCATAAAGGCACATTGCACAATTGAGCCCTAAGTTTGTGAAGTTTCAAAGGTGGTAAGTGGACAAAACATACACAACCAAAAGTGTGAAGGTCATGATAAGTTGGTAGTGTATTGTAGAGATGGAAAAAGAAGAGTCAAAGTTTAGAACTGAAGTCAGGAAGTAGTTGATCAACTAAACAACTATGGTTAGGGCTTAAACCCCAAAACAGAGAAGGAATAAAAATATGAAGAAGCAATGCTCGGGTGACATCAAGCAATTGCCTATTCTTTCGCTCAACAATGTTGTTTTGTTGAGGCATATAGGAACAAGAACCTTGAGAAATAATACCTTGCTACTACAAATACTCATGAAAATCATGAGAAATATATTCCCCACCCGAATCAATGTATAAGATCTTGATACACCTATGAAATTGTTGTTGGTGTGTGCCAAAAAAAAATCTTAAACTTGTTAAAAACCTTAGGTTTAGAGCAAAGAAAATAGATACTCGTAAATATGCTATAATAAGGTCACAAAGTATTTGTACTTTGTATGAGGAAATATTAGTGCCCTAAACATCACTACAAATAAGACCAAAGCATTTATTAGCACTGTAACTCAAAAGAAAATGGAAGAATTTTGCTTTTAGCAAGTTTGCATAAAGAACAATCTAATGAGGAATGAACATACATAATTTTATTATTCAGCAAGCCACTTTTCATAAATGCAACAAAACAGTGGAATTAGGATGACCCAAATTCCTATATCAATTCTCAAACTTATTCAACACAACATTACAAACAAAAGATAAAATTCTCGGTATACAAAATTTTAAAGGAAATAATCTTCCCACTTTAGGCCCCCTCATGATCACTTTCTTGGACACCTGATCCTGAACAAAACAACCTGCACGAGAAAAATTAACATTATAATTATTATCCACCAATTTTCCAATTGAAATTAAGTTAGAAATAAGGCTTGAAGAGGCAAAGACACCTCAAAAAGAAGAATTAATCTCTCCAACATTAATAATAGAAAGAGTATTACCATAAATAATTTAAATGTTTTAGGTTCCACTATGAACATTGTGTAAATGTTCAAGTGAACCTGTCATGTGGTTTGAGGCCCCAAAATCAACAAACCAAGGTTGAGAGATGTCTTCAAGCTTACCCCAAATTCCCAAGGAAAATAAAACACACAATACCATTTGGTGTACACTCTCCAAGGCCAAAACACAAGCACCAGAGGTCGCTAAAGTAGAGGTAACTAAAACAGATGAGGCAGAAAGGCCTTCACTGGTTTTTGCTTAGAGAGTCGAACAAATGATGTGACCTAGTTGCTTACAGTAGTTGTGAAATTTCTTATTGCAATTGCAAGCAATATGGCCAAATTGCATGCAAGAGAAACATTGAACTTTTGTTATATCACAACCTTTTCCTTTAGCTTGGATAGAATAGGCAACAGAAATAGAATTTGAAACAAAGTTGTCACTAGCTATAACCCCTTGAGTGATGAGACATTGCTCCTCCTTAGGTAGTTCCCCTAAACACACTTCGAGAAGGAGCAAGAACTCAATTTAGTAGAGTAGCATACACAACTTCAAATTCAGGATGCAACTTCATAAGAAATTAATTGATCTCGCTTACTTGTGACATAGACCTACTAAACAACGATGAATGACTATTTGTGAACATCAACATGAGAAATTGCTAAATGTTTAGCCACAAATTAAGAATCCCAAACAATATTCCTAAATAGAAAAACTCGCTTGACGATAATTAGCGATGTCAAGCTCCAATTGAAACCCTTTAACAACATTATTTTGATTGTAAATGTGTTTCAGATAGGCCCACATAACCTTTGCAGTAGAGAAGGAATGCAAATTATTAATCATGAGTGGGTCAATGGAAGCAAGAACCTAAGTGATAATTTGGGCATCCTTTGTTTTCCAAGTAACAAATGCATCAATGTCAATGGGTGCCATTCACATGACCTCATAGACTTTTTTCCTTTGATGAACATCTTAAATTGAAATCCCCAAACAACATAAATTTTGCAATTGAAGCGATGGAAAAAATTATTTGTTGCCAAGATCAAATTAAAAATAAGTCAAGAAACAACCTTTGAACCACGAACAAGGAGGTGTCGACAACAAAACTCCAAAT